CGCGACGTGCCCGTTCGCCGTCGAAGCCCCGCCGCGCTTTCTACTTTCTCCGCCCCTCCGCTCGCGTGCGGAGCCGAGGTCCAGTGGAAGCTGGCGCAGATCACCGCGTCCATTTCGGACCGCGCCCGCCTCCCCCCCTCCCCTTTCCTCCTGCTCGTCCCCCTCTCCCTCTCCTGCTCCTTAGTCTACCGCTCTTACCGTCCGCCTCCTTGGGCTCCTCCTCTCCCCCTCGGCGGCCCCTCGGCACCCTGCCTTCTCCTCTGCATTCTACCTATCTCTCGCAACGTTGGTCTATAAGTCTCGTCCTCCTACTGGCTCCTCGTCCTCCTTCCCCCCGCCACGTACGAGGATGCGAAGGTTCAGTACGAGTGCGGGAGAGATGGATGTCCGCCAGTCGTGGGATGTCCAAAGTCAACCGTTCAACAGCACGGTCGCTCAGGTGCGCGCTTGAAGGCCCAGGCGGCCCTTCTTCGAGGCGGTGATCGCGTATGAGGATACTGCCAGCACGAAAAGATCTGATCGCCCTCGTGAGGAGGACTGATGACGGGCAAGAAAGGTGTGCGGCTCTTCTCGGGACGCATAGATGGCGCCGCAGACTAGTTGTCCCATTTACTTTTGTGTTTGCTTGTGTGAGTTGTGTATGTGGTGTTTTGCCTAGGTTGGTGATTTTTGTGTGTTTTTTTGTCTGTGTTTTTGTTCTGCTATTGTTTCACCAATCTCAAGCTCTACTTCGCTGGCGCCATCACCTTCACCGAGACAGTTGGGGCCCACCGCGTCGGCAACATCGCGGGCATCCCGATCTATGTTCACGGGGGTCTCAACTGTCATTTGGCCTCGGAATGCTTCGTGCCCGCCTGGAGCGTGAAACAAGTCGCCAAGCCAGAAGATGCCACGCTCCAGCTTGCGCACGAGGACGCCGATATCATCTGCCCGCCGAAGCTCCTGAAGCAGCCTCTGGCGGCCGGCGCTGAGCCGCCGAAGATTCGCATCCGAGTGCCAGTGCTGATCCCCAAGCCTGGCTTCGTCGGCATGACTGACGTGCAGTTGAAATACTACGTGGCGAAGGCCGGCGGGGAGGCCGACGGCGGCAAGGGCAGCGGGAAGGGCAAGAAGCGCAAGCGCGCGGATGACTCCAGTGACCCGTGCACGTTTTTCGGTGGATGCGCTGCGCTCGCACTGAGCGGCGCGAGTCCGTCTTCAGGTGGCCTGGGCGGCGGCGGGAAGGGCCGTGCGAGAGTCGCGCACCTGCTCAAGTAGGCGCGCTTGCTTGCTCGCCAGGCTCGGCCCCGCCTCCCCGCCGCAGGTCGCCATGCATGGGTGCGTGGGTCTCTGCTCTGCTGGCGAGGGGCGGGAGGGGTGAGAGGAGAGGTGCGTAGAGCAACGGGGGAGTAGAGGGGGCGGTCCTCGCGCGCATTCAAACCTTCCGATGTTTCAGTTTCGAGTTTCGAGGCGCTGGGGCTAGTGCTGCCGGCTAGTGCTAGTGCTGGCTGATCTCTGCCTCGCGACCATGTGGGCAAGGTCTCTTTTGGCAGAGTGCATGCCCCCCCCCCGCGCGCCTCTGCATGCTGGAGCCCCCGCCCCTTAGAGCCCCGTGGAGGGACATGGGGGGGGGGGCGATGTCGTGGAGCTCGCGCATGGCGCAGAGCCATGCGGCCATATGGCCATGTGAACGAATTTGAGTAGATAGGTGAAGCGTGAAATTCCCCCATCCTCTCTCCTCCCTCCCGTCATCCATCTCGTCGTCGTCGGTCGTCCTTCCCCACGGCCCTAGGGCAGCCGCGAGGGTGCGACGGGGGCGGCGCGAAAGCGCGAAAGCGCGAAGATCGCGCTTCGCGGAACGCGGAGCGCGAATATGGTTGCCCTAGTTGCCGTCGTCGCCGCCCGTCGCCGCTGCCGCCGATCCCTCTCGTCGGCGGCACTCTCGGCGTGTCTTCGTCGTTCGTTCGTGATTCGTCATCGTCGTCGGCGGCGGTCGTCGTCGCTGGTCGTCGTCGTCGTCGTCGGTCGTCGTCGTCGGTCGCCGCCGCCGCCGCCGTCGCCGCCGCCGTCGTCGTCGGTCGTCGTCGTCGTCGTCGCCGTCGTCGTCGTCGTCGTCGTCGTCGTCGTCGTCGTCGTCGTCTTGTCGGCGTCACCGCCGCTTTCCGAGGGTCCGAGCGTTTCCTTCGGGTGGAGGGCAAAGGCTGACATCTGAAATGCCGTTTCGACGGGTTTTGAGGCTTGGATCTGCAAAAGGTGAACCACAAGACGGATTGATTGTCGAGGTGAAGCCGCTAAGCCCATATGGATTTCACCCTGAGCCCTCCACCTTAAGAGAATGCTCAAGCTTTCGCCGCCGCCGCGCCGTCGCCGCCGTCGCTGCTGCCGCCGCTTGGCAGCACCCTCGGCGCGCCGGCGGCGGGCCGGCGGCGGCGGGCCCGCGTCGTTGTCGTCGTCGGGCGGAGGAGGAAGGGAGGAGGAGGAGGAGGAGGAGGAGGAGGAGGAGGATCAGGGGGGTCGATGGGGGACCTTCCAATGAATCAGCATGTCGGGGGTCGTCTCAGAATATCGACCGATCCGATATGTGGCATCCATGGGAGGATTATTATTCATATCAGAGTGCGCATATTTGTATTTGTGGGGGCAGCATTATTCATATCCAACCACGCGTGTTTATATTTATTTCGATATGATTATATGGTGGTCGCTATATGAATAATGATCGCATGGAATATGAATAAGGTTGGCGCGCTACGCCTGGCGAGGCTCCCTGTCACGAGGCCGCGGGCCCGACCTCGTGACAGGGGCCTTCGTCACGAGGGCGCGCGGCGTCACCCTCGTGACGAAAAACTTCACGTTTGCAATGGGAACGTGCCACCCCAGGATAGGCCTTATCAATTGGAGACGAGTGGGTGAGATCACAGTGAAACGAAGAGCCCTCCACAGAGAAATCGGTTTTGGTTTCGTGTTCGTGGCGTGCGTGCGGGCGAGGCGAAGTCAGAGGGCGGGCGAGAGGAATGAACCCTCCTCTGGCTAGGGCGCCGTCATGCCAAATATCCGCCCCTCCCCCCCGGTTGGCCAGCGGCGGCCGGGGGTGTCCCGCCGTGGTGTCCCCGTGGTGTCCCGTGGCGTCCAGTTGGTGTTCCGTGGGTGTCCCGTCGGTGTCCCGTCGGCGTCCAGCCGACGTCCCGTCGGTGTCCCGTCGGCGTCCCGTCGGCGTCCCGTCGGTGTCGCATCAGTTTCTTGTGGGTGTCCCGTCTGTGTCCCGTCAGTGTCCCTTCGGTGGTGTCCCCTGGGTGTCCCGTTGGTGTCACGTTTTTTGATCGACAGTGAGCTCAACAGAGAATTTGAGAGTGATATCGATAGTGAAAGGGATAGTGAGATCGATTGCGAGATCGAATGTGAGGTCGACAGTGATATCCTTCGAGTGTGAACGATAGTGATATCGGTCGAGTAAGATCGATTGTGAGATCGATCGTGAGATTGATGGTGGAATCGCTAGTGAGATCGCTAGCGAGGTTGATATTGATATTTATCGAGTGAGATCAGTAGTGAGGTCGGTAGTGATGTCCCGTCCTTGTCCTGTCGGTGTCACGTCGGTGCCCCGTCGGCGTCCCGTCGGTGTCCCATCGGTATCCCGTCGGTGTCCCGTCGGTGTCCCGTCGGTGTCCCGTAGTGGGGGCCGATTATTAGATCGACACTGAGATCGATAGTGAGACCGATAGTGAGATCCATCGTGATATTCATAGTGAGATCGATCGTGCGTGTCCTGCGTGCGATCGATAGTGAGATCGATAATATGATCGATCGCAATTTCGATTGTGAAATCGATAGGTGACAACGCTTGAGTGCGACGTTGTTTCCCCCCCCCCCGCACCTCCTCACTCACCCGAAGGGTGGTCGTATAGGTAGGTGTAAGGTCGGCGCCTTTTAAGAAGCAGCCCCCCTAAGGGGCCTTCCCCCTTCCTCCGCTCCCGTGCGCGCGCCGTCAACTTTCAGGAGGGGGAACAACACACAGACACAATTAATCGTCGATCCCCTGGAAAACATGGGAAAATAGGGGAAGTGGGGGGGAAGGCAAACGCCCAGAACATATGGGAAAATTTGGGGAACCCTGCTATTCGTGTGTATCTACTCGTGTGTCCCTGGGCCCCTTCAAGCTAACACTGCCGTCCTCTTCAGCGTCGTCGCCGAATATAGGAAAATATATGGAAGACACGAACCCACAAAATATAGGAAAATATAGGGAATCCTGTCATTTGTGTGTGTGTGTAGTTACTCGTGTGTGCCCTGGGCCCCTTCAAGCTAACACTGCCGTCCTCCTCGGCGTCGTCGCCGCCGAGGTCGCGCTTTCCGCCGAACACCTCCACCGCGGGCGGGGTCGCCGCCGCCGCTCGCCGGCGCCCTCGCCGCCCCCCCCCCCTCTTAGAGCAGGGGCAGCGATCCCGGGGGGCAGGCTCACGGCCTCCTCCTCCTCCTCCTCCTCCTCCTCCTTTTCCTCCTCGTCCTCCTCCTCCTCCTCCTCCTCCTCCTCGGCCTCCTCCTCCTCCTCCTTTTCCTCCTCCTCCTTTTCTTCCTCCTCGTCCTCCTCCTCGTCCTCCAGGGGGAGCGCATCGACCCCCCCATCGCCTACGCATCGTCGATAGGGGCCTCACATTAGGCCGACCCCGCCCAGGCAGGTTGCGCGTTCGCCACCGGGGGCCCGTCCAGGGCACCAGGCAATGGTACAAACATACAAACACTCGGAGGATCGGCGCTGGAGCCCCCCTTCCCTGGCGCGCGCCAGGAGCGCGCCAGGGAGGGGGGCTCCAGCGCCGATCCGAGGACTATCCGCGCGGAGATCCGAGCTGCTATGCTTCTGCCATTCTATTACTGTCCCTGCGATCGCCGATGTAATAGCGACGCGTCGCCGAGTCCAGGTCGATCGCCGATCCCTACGATGCAGGATCCCCTACGATGCCGATCCCTATGCAGGATTCCCTACGATCGCCGAGTCCAGGTCGAAGTTCCCCCGCCCCCCGCAGTCGGTCCGCCCCTCGTCGCGTTCCTCCCGGGCCAGGCCTGCCTTCGGGCGCTGAGGGGCGACGCGGAGTACGTGCTCGAGCTGCAGAGGCGAGCCCCGCTCCCGCTCCGTGCAGAGAGGAGGTGGAGGAGGGCGAGGAGGTCGGGAGGGGGAGCAGGAGGAGGAGGGGGTGGGGGGAGGAGGAGGCGCGAGGAGGGGTAGGACGGGGAGGAGGAGGAGGAGGAGGAGGAGGAGGAGGAGGAGGAGTAGGAGGAGGGGAGGAGGAGGAGGAGGAGGACGTGGAGGACGGGGAGGTCAGGAGGTCAGGAGGAGGAGGAGGAGGAGGAGGAAGAGGAGGAGGAGGAGGCGGAGGAGGAGGAGGGGGAGGTCAGGAGGAGGAGCAGGAGGACCGCTCCGTCGGGTCGCCAGGGTTCCAAGGAGTTCGCGCAGAAGCCCCAGGCATATCCGGCGTCTCGAGAGAAATCGAGGTGGAGGTGTTCCTCATAGTTCTCGGCCACCCAGATCCCCTCGAGTCATGAAAAAATCACGACGGGAGGTTTTACGCTATTTTCGCCCTTTGGAGACACTTACTGAGCCTCGGGACGGTGAAGAAACGGCTCAGGATGCAAGACCGTCCCGGGGAATGGGTCGAGATCTCTCGGGGTCGACGTCATGCAAAAATGATGAGGTCGCGGGTCTGGGCAGAGCATTCTCTAACGTTCTCAGAGCTTTTTCAACGCTCTGTGAAGGCCGCGGCGCTCGATACATCCTCCAGAGCCGCCAGATGTCAGAGATTCCCGATTTATCCTCACACGATGGTTCCTTCGTCCTGGCCTCGTCCTAGTGGACAGAAGCCCCTGTAGCGATGGTAATCGATAAGACAGAGCCGAGTGAGCGTGCGTGGGTTAGCGTTGGCTAGGTTCGATTTGGCGTCGTCGAGCGTTGATAAGTGTCGACCCGGAAGAGCCAACGAGACGGTATGGGATCCCCCCATGGGTTGCCACTGAAGGCTCGCCCATCCCCATCCCCCATCCCTATGCAGACCCCGCCCCGCCCATCTCAGCACCCCTTGGCATCGCTCGGACGTGTGCATTTTTCCTTCGGCGAGGGCCATCGAGGCACATCCTTGATCATGTCGCGAAGAAACCACGCACGACACCGAAAAAACACAGGGAATGGACGTCCGAGCGATGGCGAGACCCCAGTTGTGGATATGCCCCTCGAGGCCCGAGGGCCGAGGAGGCCCTGGAGGCCCAGGGCGGGGCCGGGCGTCGACGGCGGAAAAGGCGGCCGCGACCGTGCGGCCTCCTGCCACCGCCGTTTGGACAGCAGTGCCTCGTCGCACTGCCTCCAGGGTACTCCAGATTTCGTAATAAAAGGGAGGGGGCCCCCTCTCCCCCCTCCTCCCCTCCTCCTCCCTCCTCCCCCTCTTCCTCCTCCAAGACAAGCCATTTCAGACCTCCCCCGTGGGAGAGCCCTCCAGAACATCGTCCCCGGACCCCCCCAGGCCCTCCAAGATGGCCTGGAAGAGACCCCCCCCGAAATGAGACCCCCCTCCCTTTATTATGACATCTGGAGTAACCGTCGCAGCGGTTCCAGGCGTAAAGGGTCGGCCTCACTCGCGTGTGAGGCCGAGTGGTTGAGCCAAGGGCGCCCTCGAGGGCGCGAAGTTGTTCGCGCTTCGGCTCCGATTCCTCCTCATCCTCCTCTTCTTCCCTGGGGGGCGGCGCGAGAGCGCGAAGTCGTTCGCACTTCGCGCAGCGCGGAGCGCGAAGTTGGGAGCCCCTGTTGAGCTCATAATGATTTGACCTGCTTAATGTGCACGGCGTTGTGCAGAGATCCCCTCCTGGGCAACAGGTGCACATCTCGCGGGGTTCCGCTCGAGACGCGTTCATCACCGTTTCAGTTGGGGCGGGGGCTAGGGTTCTGCCTCGTTCGCGGGTGTTTTGTAGCTCAGCAGCTAGCAAAGCTCAGCAAGCCATGAACCAGGTACCCAACGGTAATCGACCCGATTATCTTAATATGGTATCTCGAGAGATGTGGCCGAACGTCCATAGCAAGACTGAGACGGCCAGTTGTATGGGGCAACCCCGTAGATGTGCCCACTTAGTAACTGACACAGTCGCAATACCCTCAATATCGTAACTCGAAGCCCAAAGGAACCGGCCTGTATCCCCATCCAAAGGGGTCAAGTCGGCCAGAGGGCGTTAGGCCACGCTCAGGGGTCGGCGGTGAAGCGATGCTCACTCTCGACCACTTCCTCGGGACCAGTTTTTTCATCCCGAGTGGTTACTTAAAGGTCCCGAGGCCCGGCAAGGTGGGACGTCTGTGCACCGACCTCTCGGTGCCCGACCAGATGGCCTGGTCCGCTCCGGGTCCGCCATGACGACGACGACGACGGCAGCGGCGAGAACGACGGCAGCAACAACGACGACGACGGCTTCGTTTCAGATGTGTGTTGGTGTCTTTTTGGAGGTTCTCGTCACCTCGGCTGGACGCAGCCCGACACACTGGCCGGCATGGACCCCAGGAGGGGTTTGCGCAGATTTCGAGCAGATTTTGGTCCGAGGTCGTCTTCGTCGCCGCTGTTCGTCGTCTGCAGCGTCGTCGTCGGTGTGATTGGACGTCGTCTGCTTGATGTTGTTTTACTATGTCTAGGCCCCCCCGGGTCTGCCCCCAGAGTGAGCATAGCAAATGGCGCGCTCCTTGCGCAGCCGCCGAGCCAGATTGCTGGTGGATCTTGCAACCTTCTTTCAAACCTGGCATTTGCTTGAGCCGAAGCTAGGGAAACAAAACATTACATAAATATAAAAACTCAGAGGTCCGCGCGGATTTCTCGGATCGGCGCTGGACCCCCCTCCCTGGCGCGCGGAGCGCGCCAGGGGCGGCGCCCCCAGGCGCCGCCAGGGGTGCCCCAGCGCCGATCCGAGAAATCCGCGCGGACCTCCGAGTTTTTATGTTTGTGCCACTTTTCGTTCCCCTAGAAGCACTCGAGCCCGCGCTTGCGCCCGAGCAACTTGAGCCACACGGCCAGGGCAAAGGCAGGCGAGCATGAGGAGGGGAGCGGGCGTGAGCGGGCAGGAGCAGCAGGAGGAGGATCAGGAGTTCAAGGAGCAGGAGAGGAGGAGGAGGAGGAGGAGGAGGAGGAGGAGGAGGAGGAGGAGGAGGAGGAGGAGGCAGGCGGAGGAGGAGGAGGAGGACCAGCGCAAGCTCAAGATGCATCAAATCTACTGCAGTACCCCCACCCGTCCCGAGTCCCCGCCTCATGAGCTCCTGCAGGCCTGACTTCTCGACACAACGGAGTTCACCTTGAAAGACGAGCTCCCCATGGGGCTGCCATTCAGGCGAGAGCCCCGTGAAGCGAGGAGCTGCTTTGCGTCCTTCTAGCGAGCTATTCGGTGGCCTTCGGCCCATCCCGCCACCCAGGCCTGGGCTTAAGTCGGGCTTGTCCCTCTACAGGGGGGATATTCAAAACATAGTCAACAAATAGTCTGGGGACGTTTTTCCCGACTATATTCTGATATTTTTGGTGTATTTTTTTTGTTTCGCCCAAAATCCCCCTGTAGGGGGATATGCCCGACTTAAGCCTGGGCTGTAGGTCAGAGGCCTCTTGGATCCCTGTGGCGATCTCTTGGCCGGCCTCTGGGGGCGGTTTGGGAGCGTCTCGAGGGCTTCTCGGGGGCTTCTCGTCAAGCAGTGGCGAAGCGTCCTGGCTCGCCTATAGCCCTACCAAGCAATGTTCTAAGAACCTTTTGTGGTTTCCACGAAATGTTCTTAAAACATATATGGCGGGGACTGTCTTGTTTTAACGCATCGGGCTTATGTTCTAAGAGCCTTGTTTTTGTGCTTAGAACATTTTTGGGTCCTAAGAGCATTTCGTGGTAGGACTATAGGGATGCTGGGACGGTCTTCCCTGCTCAATCTCGGGGGCATTTGGGGGCCAGCTTTGGGCCTTCTTCGGGGCCTCCGAGGGCTGCTCGGGGGGGCCCTCTTGGGGCCTGCTGGCGGTCTCGGGGGCCATCGTGGGGTGGAGGGCTCGACATGTCTGCCTGTGTGGGAACGTTGAGTCCGACCAAAGCCTTACTGCAATCATTCGTTTTGCCTCTTGGGCCCTCCGTGGAGGGCCCATTGGAGCTCGCTTCGGGCGTCTGGGAGCATCTTGGGCCTTCTTGAAGCTATCTCGGACGTCTTGGAGCGATTCTCGGGCAACTCGGGGTCCTTTTGGACCGTCTCTGGGGCGTCTTGGGGCCTCGTGGCCTCCAACGCTCGTGGAATCGGGCCCTTTGATGCTGAATTCTGGGGGCCGGGGACGTAAGGCTTTTGAGTGATCTGGGTACACTCCAGCTCTTGCCTCGGGGCACCGTGGCGGGTATGGAATGCGAAAGGGTACGGTCACAAAGGCCAACGAAGTGTCCAGCAATAGCTACGATAGAAGGGAGGAAGTCATGGAGGCACTTGTCCCTTCCCAAGAAGAAGGGGCTGTGAACCAGGGGGGGGGAGGAGAAGGCAGCGGAGGGGGGGGAGGACGGAACACGGAGAAGGGACGCGGGTGAGGAGCAGAGGGGGAGGGGGACGAGGAAGGGAATGGAAGGGGGAGGGGGGGAGAGGAGGAGGGGGGGGAGCATGGGGAGGAGATGGGGGGGGGTCGGTCTGGGAGGCTCCCCCCCTTCTTCTTCTCCCCGCCCTCCCCCTTCCGCGCGCAGGGCGATCGGCTTCCTTCCGCCGCGTACAGGCGCCCCGGGGGCCGCCGCGCGTCGCAGACGCGCCGCCGTCGCCGCTCGGGTCGCAGACGCGCGGCCGGGGCCCCCCCCCTCCTCCTCCTCCTCCTCGCCTCCCTCCTCCTCCTCCTCCTCCTCCTCCTCCTCCTCCTCCCTCCTCCTCTCCTCCTCCTCCTCCTCCTCCTCCTCCCCCTCCACCTTCCTCCTCCTCTCCTCCTCCTCCCCTCCTCCTCCTCCTCCTCCTCCTCCTCCTCCTCCTCCCCGTAGCCATTTTGGCTCAAGCCATGTTGGCTCAAGTAAACCATTTCTCGAGGTGGTTTGCAGAGACCAGGGACCTGCCCAGCAGGCTCGGCCCGCGCATCAGGGGCCTGCTGGGCAAGGCAGGCGCCCACACAATTTTGCCACGCTCCGAAGAGCCCCCCCGTACTGTACTGGTCGGGCAGGAGATCTATTCTTCACGGTCGCGCATGGGGCGTAGGGAGAAGGATGATCAGCAGACTGGAGGCCAGTATGCAAAGTGCAGGGGATGTGGGTATAAGTGGAACTGGACAAACAGGTCGGAGTGCTACAAGTGCAAGAGAGGTCTGCAGCCAGCCACCTCTCAAGAGCGAGCCCCGCAGGGCGCCTGGGGCCCCAACGGCGCCTCTTCGCGGCGCCGCAGTCGGCCGTCAGTCAGGCCCAGTCGGGAGGAGCTCCTCAAGCAGCTGCGGGCCACCCTCCCAGACGGCGACGCAGAGGCCGTCCAGCACCTCGAGGCGCTCGCCCGCGTGCAGCCACCAGAGGTGCACCCAGACGTCGCCCTCAACCAGGCCCCGGCGCGGCTCCGCAGGGCGGAAGCAGCGCTCAAGAAGACCATCGAGAGCATCGCCGAGAGGGAGCAGTGGCTGCAGGACCAGAAGGAGCAGAGGGAGAACTGGATCATCGAGGTCACCGACGCGGAGGCGGCGGTCCAGGCAGCCTACGTTCGAGCGGCGCCCAAGGTCGCGGCGCCGGTGGAGGAGCCCACGCCAGCCCTGGACCTCTCGCAGCTGCTCGAAGGGGACCTGGACATCCTCAGCGTGCGGCCAGGCAAGGCGTTCGACCTGGAGGGACTCGACATCCCGCCCGAAGAGCATCGCCAGTTCGAGGAGCAGATGGGCCAGTTCGTCAAGCAGGTCCAGTCGGAGGTCAAAAGGCACTTCGGCCCAGCGGCGGAGGGGCTCGCCGCGATGCGGGCGGACCTCAAGGCCTTCAGCGACAGGCTCAAGAGCAAGAGGGCTAGGTCGGAGCCTCCCCCACCAGAGGCTGCTGCGGCCTCAGCCCCAGGGGGATCACCAGGCAAGGCGGCAGGCAAAGGCGGAGCAGACGGCAAGCAGCCAGTGGCGGCCGCGGCCAAGGCGGCTCCCACAGCGGGGCCAGCAGCCCCTCCCCATGCTGGCGTTGACGGTGCTCGCGACGCTGCTGCAGCCAGCGGAGGCGGCGCTGCAGGCGCCACAGCTCCTGCGGGGGCCGCAGGCAGGACTAAGCGCGAGCTGGCACAGGACGTCCGAGCCAGGATCCTGGAGCGGGCAGCAGCCAACCCCCCAGCGGCCGACGGAGACTCCAGCGCAGCCTGAAGGCTCAACTCCGAGAGGCTGGCGAAGGTGGCGGCAGCGCCCACGCCGTGGGCGAGGCAAGACCGCCGCGCGGAGGCGGAGTGCGCCAGCCGTACCACCCGACATCGACTGGGTCGGGGCGACCCCCACCACATCTACGAGCAATACCACTACATGGGGGGCGACTCCTCCGCCCGTCTCGGATGAGCTGCCCCGATGGGCAAGCAGGCGGAGGCAGCCTGGGCCCAAGCGGGTCGCCTTCATCGTGGGGACGAGCGTCCACGTCCCAGCCATTGAGGAGGGCATCAACATCCTGGGCGGGGACGGCGACAGCTCCTCCCCAAGCACCTGGGCGCGGCGGGCGCTCAGGGGCGCGGACACGCTCCGCCGCCAGCTGCTAGCGCCGTGGCTCCGACGGCGGGACAGCAGCAGCTCAGCCTCGAGCACATCCGAGGGCGCCACGGAAGAGGCCCCAGAGACGCATGCGTGGAGAGCCGCGGATGCGCGGGTGGCCGATGCCTCTCCCCGTGCGTCCCTCTCGCTGATGCCGCCGACAGGCGGGTGGTCGAATCCATCAGCGATGTGCTCGTGGGGCGGAGAGCCGCAGACGTGCGGGTGGTCGACGCCTCTCCACGCGAGCGCCCCCAGGTTGGCTCCCCTGACGAGGGGGGGGCCGATGCAGCCAAGCTGGGGAGAGGAATACTGGAGGCCTCGGTCGAGGGGCAGAGGGCGACGAGCCAAGACTGGCAGGGGGGTCAGCTCAGCCTCGACCACGGCCACGGACGCCTCGGAGGAAGACCCAGTGACGCAAGAGAGGAGAGCCGCGGATGCGCGGGTGGCCGATGCCTCTCCCCGTGCGTCCCTCTCGCTGATGCCGCCGACAGGCGGGTGGTCGACGCCATCAGCGATGAGCTCGTGGGACGGAGAGCCGCAGACGTGCGGGTGGTCGAAGCCTCTCGACACGAGCGCCCCTAGCTTGGTTCCCCCGACGGGGGGGTGGCCGACGCAGCCAAGCTGGGGAGAGGAATACTGGAATCTCCCACCGCGAGGCAAGGGCCGCCACGCCGAGCCCGACAAGGATGTCAACTCAGGCTTGAGCACGGCCACAAGCGCCTCGGAAGAGGCCCCAGTGGTGCATGGGTGGGGAGCCGCGGATGCGCGGGTGGTCGACGCCTCCCCCCATGCGCCCCTCTCGTTGGTGCCGCCGACAGGCGGGTGGTCGATGCCACCAGCGATGAGCTCGTGGGACCGAGAGCCGCAGACGTGCGGGTGGTCGACGCCTCTCGACACGAGCGCCCCCAGCTCGGCTCCCCCGACGGGGGGGTGGCCGATGCAGTCCAGCTGGGGAGAGGGATACTGGAGGCCCAGGACCAGAGGCAAAGGGCGCCACGCAAAGCCTGGCATGGTGCTCAGAGGCCTCAACTGCAGCGCCTGGAGCACCCTCGTCGACCATCTGGGTGATATGCCGCTGGGCAGGAACACCATCATGCTGGTCCAGGAGCACCGCCTCGCCAGCGACTACGTCGGCGAGATCAGCGCCATCTGCTTCCAGAGACACCTCGCCGTCGCCCTTGCTCCCGCGGCAGTGGGGCCAGGTGGCGGCAGAGTGGCAGGGGTGGGGATTGTCGCCCCACGCTGCGTGGGCCTCACCTACCTTGAGGGCGCCGACACATTCGATTTCTCGCCGCCAGGATCGCCAGGAAGGCTGGTGGCGGCCTGGACCCCTGGGTTCCTTCGTGGTGGCCTCATGGTCCTCAGCGCCTACTTCTGGGTTTCAGAGGGCTGGGCGGTTCGCAACCCGTCCATCTTGGACGCCATAGGAGAATTAGTGAGGTCCTAGGACATACCGTGGGTACTCCAGGCGGACTTCAACAACACCCCCGACACGCTCAGGGCCACGGGCCGGGTGGACGACGTCGGGGGCAGCATCTTCTCCTCGGCCGCCCCCACCTGTCAAGGCAGGGGAGGCGGGAGGGTCATCGACTACTTCGTGGTGGACACGCGCATCGCGTCAGCCTTCGGAGCAGCGGAGGTGCTGGACGCGCCCACCGCCCCGCACAGCCCCGTCGCCATCACGACGGAGAGGCCGCTGCGGGAGCGGCTAGGCTTGAGGCTGGTCAAGCCTCGTGCCTTCCCGACTCGCCTCCCCGTGGGCTGTCGTAGGGGGCCGCCAGCCTGGCCGATCCTCGACAGCGGAGCAAGCTACAGCGACGCCGAGCTGGAGAAGTTGTGGGCGGAGTTCTCGGCGGCCGCCGAGCACGACCTGCAGGGCGTCCACGACCTCGCTGGCGAGGCCGACTACACTGGCAGGGGGGGCCACCCGCGATGGGCCAGGGCCCCGATCGCAGGCCCAGAGGCGCATGCGAGGCCCAGGGGCACCACGCGCTCCAGGGCATGGCGCTGGGTGGCCAGCCGCGTAGGGGACATCGTCTGGCTGGCGCAGGCGGCCCGCCAGCGGCGCGACTGGAAACCGTTTGCCGACCAGTGGCGGCGCCTGCGCAGACGCTTCCACCATGGTGCTGCTCGCTGGTGCGACGCGCTGGGCGACGACGCCAGGACCGTGCACGTCGAGCTCCTATCGCTGGGCGACCTCACCTGGGACGGGGACGCGCTCTGGGAGGACGCTCCCAGGGCGATGGAGTTGCAGCGTCGTGCCACGCAGCAGGCCCACGTCATCGAGCAGGGCCTTCGAGATCAGAGGGCAAAGGCGTGGCGGCAGAGGCTCAAGGACGGCTCACAAGGAGGAGCAGGCTTTGTCCATCGCGTGTCGAAGTGGCGCCAGGGGATCGACCCCGCCCTCGGGGCCAGAGGGCACGCCAACCTGGACATGACCTGCCCGCAGGCCGCGGTGGACCTGGAGGCGCTGAAGTGGATCGACCTCTGGACCTCCCACGGCGCCCAAAGCCGAGGGGAGCTCCCGCGGCCCTGGGAGGCGGCCACTTTCGAGCATAGCATGATCGAGCCTACAGCGGAAGACATCAGGGCCATATGCAGGGCCTTCCCAGAGCACACGGGGGTTGGAGTGGACAACTGGCACCCCAGGTGGTTTGCGAGCTTGGGGGACGAAGGGCTCGTGTTCCTGGCCGCCTTCGTCGCCTACGTGTCGCGCACGGCCAGGTGGCCCCCCCAGCTGCGCTACGTGATGTATTTTCTACTGGCCAAGCAGGGCGGGGGAACCAGGCCCATCGGCCTCCTCACTACTGCAGCGCGGCTGGTGGAGCGCGCGCACGCGCACCAGCTCCACGACTGGGAGAGGGAGATTCGACGGGACTACGACTTCGCGGCGCCAGGCGGGGGATCGGAGGAAGCAATATGGCAGCAGATGTTGTTCGACGAAGGAGCCCAACCTGGGGAGGTGACGGGCACGGCGGTCCTAGACCTCGAGAAGGCGTTTGAGCATGTCACGATGTACTTGCTATGGGCCGAGGCGCCCAAGCATCAGTTTCGTTTGCAGCTTTTGAAGCTCCTGA